AAAGATGGAATTTGTTATACTGATTTGAGTAATGAAGCCATGAATAAGATGGCTAAATTATTTTCATTATTTTATGTTATAAAGGGCAACATCAGCTTAGATCCCAGTTTCCCCTTGCCCTTTCCACTAATCAATACTTCATAGAAATATTGTTGTTGTAATTAATAACATAAACATGTCTGCATCTTATGTGATTTCAGGGCTAGAGATTACAATACAAGTTGAAATCTGTCTAGCTTGCTACTGTAAAGTAAGAGGTTTCTTATGTTAAATGTGACCCAGTTAATAGGATAATACCTAGGCTCCCCATAGAAAACTTCATTAAAATAGCCATTAAAATGCTGCTTTGTGGTCATCAGATCATTTAACTAGTTTTGCTAAGTTGAGGAGACTTCACGATGATTTCTTCAGTTTACATTATGTTATTTCAAAAATGTGGAATAAATTAAATTACTTATTTAATCTTAAAAACTTCCCATTCCCTGTCAATATAAAAATAATGGCACTTAAATATTTGATCATTGTTTTATTATTTCCTTACAAATTCCAGAAATGATACAAGGGGGCTTTAAACTTCATGAAAAATGCATATTATGAAAAAACCACGCATGAATTTCAAAATATTTGCACTAAAATAAATTTATCTTTTAAATCAATTTTTTCATAGATATTTTGAAACCCTCTCATGAAAGGTATTTGAATAGATTACAATGTAAGTATGTTAAACAGGATTTTATTAATTATGAGTCTGTATAGAGAGTATTGTGTGTATGAAACATTTATTGCTTATTATGTGGTAGACATTGTTACTTCTTTTACATCTATAAATTCTGAAATCACCGATTTAAAGGTAATAGATAATAAGTAATTAAAAATGTATCTCAATCTATTCTGTATCTTTGTCTTCAGGTACATGATACTCAATGTTAAACTTTGCACTTGCTAGGATTTCAACAGTTCAACTCATGTTTGTTGCTCCATATTTGAACTTTCAAAGAAGTTCAAAAATACTGTAAGCATATGAAACTTGGTCTCAACACAAAATCTGAAGTTAGCTTTTTCAAAGGGTGGAGATGGTGAAAAGAACAAGTTTCCAGGCAGTAAGTAGTCATGATTTCCATCTTCTGGTTTGATTCTATTATTGGCTGAATACAGCTTAATGTACTTGTCTTCACTGTACCAATGTGTAATGTATGAACACGGTTACTGGGGTAATTTAGAAACAGGATGCCTTTAATCTTCTGCTCAGATCAATCAATTATAATATATAGCTTATAGAATGTTCAAGAATCCTACATTGTACCCTTAATAGAAATAACTTTAGAGTTAAACAAAGTTGGGGAAAATGTGAATCTCACAGAACACACTCATATGGAACAAAGACAAATTATGCAGGTGGAACTTTAACCATTATGTGTTTCATTAACCAGCACAAAGAGAAACTACTTTGAAAATCATACACAAAAACAGAATATTTTAGGGAGCAGAAAGCTGTTTTGACTCATGAAGAAGCAAAATGAAATTCAAGGGATCCCAAACTCAATAACCTGTGGAAATTAATGTCAGACTCATAAATACAGACAGTATTTATAGTTACTTTCTCTATGCCAACAAATTTTGTCACATGACATATACATGCTATATTTCAAATTGTACTTCTAAATTCTCTTTTTTCTTTTTTTTATTTTTTGACAAGCAGAATTAAACAGTGAGAGAGACAGAGAGAAAGGTCCTCATTCCGTTGGTTCACCCCCGAAATGGCCTCTACGACCAGCACACAGTGCCGATCCAAAGCCAGCAGCCAGATGCTTCCTCCTGGTCTCCCATGTGGGTGCAGGGCCCAAGCACTAGGGCCATCCTCCACTGCCTTCTTGGGCCACAGCAGAGAGCTGGACTGGAAGAGGAGCAACCGGGACAGAATCCTGAGCCCCGACTAGGACCAGAACCCCGAGTGTTGTCGCCGCAGGCAGAGGATTAGCCTAGTGAGCCCCGGCGCCGACTCAAAATTCTCTTTCTATAAAACAGTATTCATTCAGAGTTTACAAGATTTTTTTTAAAAAGTATTATCCATTTGACCTTGTCATAGTGTCTTGTGTTATTGTTATGCTACTAAACATGATTACAAAGAAGTTTATACATGAAAAATCTATTGTCGCCTACACAAGGTACAGTTTCTTCAGCTTTTCGTGGGATTCTTAAAGCATTTTGTATTTTCAGTGAGTTTGAATGCATTTTTTAAAAAAAGTATTTGCCTTATTACATTTCTATAACTTACTGCTGTACTGCTATGCCAACATACCACAGTTAAAATAAAAATTGTACATGTAAAATTAACTACAATTCACACAAAATACACTTTAAGTTTTCTCTAGACTCTTTGGTACATTTTGAGAAGAAGGTGAGATTGGATTTAGATTAAAAGCTAAGTAGAGGCCGGCTCTGTGGCTCACTTGGCTAATCCTCCGCCTGCAGCACTGGCACCCTGGGTGCTAGTCCCGGTTGAGGTGACGGGTACTAGTCCTGATTGCTCCTTTTCCAGTCCAGCTCTGGCCCAGGAGGGCAGTGGAGGATGGCCCAAGTGCTTGGGTCCCTGCACCCGCATGTGAGACCGGGAGGAAGCACCCGGCTCCTGGCTTCGAATCGGGGCAGCGTCGGCTGTAGCGACAATAGGGGAGTGAACCAATGGAAGGAAGACCTTTATCTCTGTCTCTCTCTCTCTCACTGTCTATAACTTTCTCTCTGTCTCTCTCACTGTCTAACTCTGGCTGGCAAAAAAAAAAAAAATCTTAGTAAAAATGGAAGGTGTTTTGAAAGTTGGGTTCAAATAATATTATGTGTTTTCATGGGTATCTGGAAAGGAAGAGTGGTATATATGGACATATGAGGGCCACTTGCCTGCGTTTCTGTTCTATTCTTTGTCTCTGCCCCTTGTAAGCAGAGAACAGTTGCTAAGGGCAATCAGAGTCAGCACCAAGGATAGTTCCACACACATTCAGCACCTGGGAGAGAACTCTCCTCTAGCAAGCTCAGCAGCAGTTAGCTAACAGAATGACAGAATGATCTACTTACAAAGAAGAAGGAAAGAAAAAAAAAAAAAAAAAAAAAACTTGTGCATTGGAGAAATGTATCTTTTTATATGCCAAGAGAGGCAACCGTACAGATTCAGGAAAGCTCAGCTACCATAAGAACCTGGGGGTTGTCACAGATTGCTTCTTTTTAAAATAAAGCTAATTAACTGGAAAATTCAACGTTCCTAGGCAATGTCTTCCGTTTGACTCATTTTCATTGCTCTGATATGATAGAGTGGGAATTGCTTAGTTTCTTGTTTTTATTTGGAACTGTTATGTTGGTGTGGGTTTTCTGAAACATAACATAAAGAAAAGTCGCTACGTTTATTTCCTTGTTATTTCTTGCAATCCACATGTTTCACCTACCTAAACTAACCCTGCTTCTTGGCACTTCTCAATTCTATCTTCTTTATTTCATTTCAGATGTAGGCTGTAGCTGAGAAAATATGAACCTGATAGACTCAAGTCACAGGCAAAGAAGGTTAGTGGGCTGCAAGAATCCCTCAAAACTGTCTCGTGCAACCGCTAGACAGGAGTCTCTGGGTCTTTATCAGCAGCGGGAAACAGAGGTCTGACCGTGTTCTACTTCTGTGGATTGAAGTGGTGGCAAATTCCATTTAGAGAGGGAGGCTATTAGGTTAAAAACGGGGATAACGTAAATGCTGGGGAAAGAAGCAAGGAAAACGACTTCTAAAGCACACTTTCCTGACACAGCTTGTCACCTTGGGTTTCCTCAGTCTCCAGAGGACAGCTTGCACAGAAGTGCTGCTGTGCGTGCCCTGAGCGTCCCGCGTCGTCAGCCTCTAAGAAGCAAGAGCCAAGCGGACTGTGCTCTGCCCCCTTGGACCCGTTGCTGTCCTACACGATATTGGTTAGACATGGTGGCGGAAAGCTGAACGAAGTGACGAGTCTGCTCCTTACCAGAGTGGCACCGCAGGTCACACGAAGGCCGGCAACTCTTAGCCCCACCCACCTTTTGTTCCTTCTCTCTGGCGCCCCGCCTCGCCCATTTCAAACTCTTTTGCGTGTTTTGCACCCGTCGCTCATCCGGTCTCCGGCCTCTTTGGTGTTTCTCACAACCTCCAGCACCTGGAGACCCAGTCGCCCCCACAACCTCGCAACTCCTCGGGGGCTCAAGCCTTGAAACTGGGCATGCTCAGCGGCGCGGGCTTCCTTCAGCGCCCTGGAGGCGGGAGCTCCGCGCTGGGCAGGGCCGGGCTTGCCAAGCTCCCCACCAGCCCGGGCGCCCACCGCGACAGAGTCCAGGGCTCTGAGCCCCTCGCCGAGGCCGTGCCTGCACCTTTGAGGGAGGTTCAGCCTCAGCCTCCATTCCTTCGCTGAGGGACTGTTTTCCCACCTGTCTTTTCTTTGCAGCTAAGGATGCCTTAACCACTGCGGCGTGAGGAGCTCAGGGATGGAGCCCTGTGGCTAGTGGCCCTGGAGATCACCTTCCCAGAGTGGCTGTTTGTCACTGAGTTTTGGAGATTTCTTGGCTGGCCTCCGCTAAAGCACGCTTGAGTAATCCGAGCTGTGGCGGCGCCCAAGCTCTCAGGATAAAGGGAGCGAGTGTGTGTGTGTGTGTGTGTGTAGGGGGAGAGGGCGGAGATAGAAACGTCAACCTTCCCCCCCCCCCAACACACACACACACCACCACCCGGCGCCCCAGCCTCTTTTTTCTCTCTACCCTCCTGCAAATGCCGCACAAGTCTTCCCTATCCCCGCCCCCCCCCACCGCCGCACACCCCACACCCTCAAGCCGTCCCCAGGGCTCTGGGCAACAGCCAGGTTAAGCCCATTTGCACTGGGAAATTAGCGCTGTTTGGGAGAAGAGAAACAGATCGATTGCCCTTGTGACTCCCCGCCCCCTTCCCACCCACCCCACCCCCACCGCTCCCTCCCTGCTCCCTCCCCCGCCACCTCCCCTCACCCCGCCTCCTTCCCGCTCCCCACCCCCAAACCCTCTCACCCGCGGCAGTCCGGTGCGAGGCCCCTCCGGAAGGCGAGGGGAATGGATCGGACTCTGGTGGGGAAGGCGGGTGTCTAGAAGGGGTGCTAATGGGAAGAGCTTTCTGGTTTCAAACGAGGATGCTCTGCCGCCGAGAGCCGCTCGCTCGCTGGCCTGGGCTCTAGCCGAGGAGAGATCCCGGGAGAACTCCAGAGCTCCGGGGAGCGCTCCTCGGAGCCCCGGCTCAACATGCCTGTTCGCAGGGGGCATGTGGCACCACAAAACACGTTTTTGGGGACCATCATACGGAAATTTGAAGGGCAAAGTAAGTCCATTTGTTCTCTTCTCTCTCCCTCGCTTTCCGCTTTGATAGTGCACTTGGCGTCCGCCGCCTGCGAGCTGGGGAGACGGGCAACTCCAGGCTCTGTCAAGTTGAGACTGTGAAACCGAGCCAGGAGGTTCGGGTGGCAGCAGGAGTGGTCTCCCTCTGATATTAATTTTGATTTACATTTCAGATTATGGTCTCCATTATAGGAGGCAACTGGATCCTCCTCTCCCACCGCTCCATTAACTGCCTTGCTACTTAATGTCCTACTATTCTACTATCTTAAAGGGAACGTGTGGGTATAACCTGGGTTTATATTATCGGGCTGTTTTACTGTAGACTTTTTTAAAGTCAGGAGCAGAGCGGAGAAGACACTTGGAACAAGAGAATGTGCATGGTAGTAGCGATGTAAATGGCTATGCAAACTATATTTTACCTTGGTTACATTGCAGGGTGGTGCTGTGGCAAGGATGTTTGCAGGCTGTTAGTTTATAGGAGCTAAACTTTGTGTTGAATCAATGCAAATGCAACCCAAGCAGGAAAAATTGGAAAAACAGTATCTCATCTGTGCTGGCTCCTAGTGCAAACAGCTGGTTATTCAAAGGACTATTTCTGTCCCTTCATTATAACCTTAAATTTCTCATCTAGAAATTTAAAAATTGAAATACATTAAGCAAATCCCACAAAGAACAAATGCAAAGAACTTTAATGTTCTTATATGGACTAACTACAGGGAATGAATTATTATATAAATATATTAACTTAAAATCCCACACTTGTCAGTTTACATTCGACCTTCTCCTAGGTCTATGTTAAAATACATTTATGTTGTATATTTTACAGTTGATTCAGCTCTGCATTTCATGACCTGAGGGTCTGGTACCTTGTGTTCAAATTAAAGTTGCATATACATTTAACATTCTATAAAAAGTAATAAGTCCTTTGCATTACATTTGCTACTTCCCATACAGAAACTCAAGGCTCTCCCAAAGTAAAAGTGAAAAAGTGTTAACATAATATTTACTCTGTATGTATAAATAATTTTATCTTTTGGAAAATATATGTAATGAAAGTGTGACCCTTTGCATTATTGAACTGCTAATACATGTAAAGCACTTTGAGTGTCAATGCTAGCTGTCATACACACACACACACACACACACACACTAGTTCGCCTTAGAGTGCTAGAGAAAAGCCAAATCCAAGAATAATAACTACTTTGGGAAAGTTGTATTCTAACATCCAAGGTTGAAGTGAGAAATCTGATGTTTCACTGTTTTAGCTCTGAAAATATTTACCTTACATTAAATGGCATTCTGTAAATATCAATGGGCCAGCTGCTTGTCTGAGTGTCTACTGGGACCCCTGAGAATCACAGGGCTTAACAACTAAACTTTTTTGGCAATTTTATGCTTCCATTTGAAGAGTGGTTCCTTAATACTTTCTGTTTAAACTACTCAGAGTTATTAATTCCCCATTTAAATTTTGTAGGTTTTTTGTGTTTTCTTATTTTTGGAAAGAGCAAAGACATTAGCAATTTGGGGGAAGTACCTGCAGTTTAGACCTTTTATTATGCAACAGATTTTTTCACTCGTGGAACCTTTTAAAAAGATACCTTACTATCTTCTTATTACAGATAAAAAATTTATCATTGCAAATGCCAGAGTGCAGAACTGTGCCATCATCTACTGCAATGATGGGTTCTGCGAGATGACTGGCTTCTCCAGGCCAGATGTCATGCAGAAGCCGTGCACCTGCGACTTTCTCCATGGGCCCGAGACCAAGAGGCATGATATTGCCCAAATTGCCCAGGCCTTGCTGGGGTCAGAAGAGAGGAAAGTGGAGGTCACCTACTATCACAAAAATGGTAAAGTTTATCTATTTAGGATTCCTAGTGTTTGATTCCATTGAAAAGAAATTGTGATTACTGAAAGCGCCTATGCAGAGAATCCCCATTCCATCATCTATGTATTCTTGACTTATAGTATTGTAGGATCTAAGAAGTGTAGATGCTCTCATTAATGAACTGGTAGGAATGGTTTATTTATTTATTTTTTTTGTCTTTTAGGAAGGGTATCCTGTTTGAACTCTTCAAAAGTTCAGTACCTTAATATTTTCAAAGATTAAATGGCACAAATCAGTGTTACACATTCCCCTCTATGAGGAATAATACAAAGACCAATAATTTACTGAATACATTTACATGCATTTGTTATAGAGAAATAGAGTTTTATATGCTTGAACTTGAGAATACTTCACAAAGCAGAGTCCTTTTGAGAACTGTATAAATGGATCTAAAACTATTACACTTAGAATTTCTTGGTCTTCAAATTTATTTGATAGGCAACATCCCTCATTTTTTAATCCTTTTCATACAAGATTACAAATGATATGTAGAAACTTCTAAAATTAGTAAACTAAGCCAAGGCACATCCAAATAATGAAGGCAATTCATGGATTCAAGATGTGTTTTAAAATAAGGAATGTATAAAAGGCATTATGATACTATGTAGTTATTAGTTTTCATTTTTACAGCTGCAGCAAGACTGGCAACAGAAACTTAAGGTCATACCTCAACTTCAAGGGCACACTTCCTTCTTTCAGGCTTGCTATAAGAGCTTAAATATTAGAACTACAATAGTTCATTAAGAAATATACAATCTGAACATGCATGCATTAAATAAAAATATTTGTCTATTAATTCATGTATATGAATATTCATATACATGCATTTTAGGTATATATGTTTTCAACTATGCACATTTAATGATATTTGACAATTTAGGGCTTAAAGGTAAAATGACCTGAAAATATGTCCATTATAGTTAATTTTATCAATGCTGCACCAGCATCCACTTCTTTTTATTCCATTCACAGAGATTAGTGAGACAGATGGATAGCTGTTCGGATTTTTAGAAAACTTTAAGTTTTTGTAAATGTGTAATGTGCTATAGCCTGTATCATATAATGACTCATCATTTGGTAACTTACAGAGAAAAAAATAGCAGGGAAAAGGTTTGACAACTCCTCTTATTTTCTTATATGTAAATGTTTCGTGATTGAAAATGTACAATTCTTAATTACTAGGTTTTTCTTAGCATGAACTTGCGTGGATATGTGCAGCAAAGCATTACAGGAAATACAAGTTTATATAACTTTGTATTAATCTAGAAGGAAAGAAATTATATGGTTATTTTACAACATAGAACTTATTTTTTAAAGTTCTTTCCATCTTTCCTCATTTCTCAGTCAGTAGTGATGCTATACCAGAAATGGCATAATTTTTCTATTGTCTTGAAAATATTTATTGGAGTTAGGCTCTCAGAACCCAAATGCAACTTATTTCTTCTGTATATCTGATGCCATTGATTTGGACTTTTGAATGTTTGACATTTTTTCCCATCTGAATATTTATCATAATGTTGACAGAGTCTGTATTTTGGTTCTTCAAAGCATGTTGATCCAGTTTTGGTGATTGTGTTTCCTAGGCTATTTCACATAATTTTTTAATCAACTTGTAGAATTTAAGTATAAAATTAATCTTATCTAACCAAATATACATAGTATATTTGGCATAATGTTTTCAAACAGAAGTTGCAATCTATTACACTGCAAGTAGAATGATTAGTGAAACTTGGTGAATATATGTAACATGAGTATGTAAAAATTTTCTCAAAACTCTTTAAAACAGCAATTTCATATAGAAGCAAAAACTTGTTTATAAAATTTTCTGTAGTGAAGAGATAAGCTCATTGTGACTAATATAAATCTACCTGTGTGACTTGCTTTGTTTTATAAATTAAAATTCCTGTTTTCAGACAAGGAATCTTTATTTGGAAGCTTATTTGAATATAGAAATATTAACTATGGGTGACAATATTGTTTTTTATTGATTTAGTTGTCAGATTTGACTCTGTAAAGACTTTAGTATCTTTAAAATTAGTGACAAACTGCCTATTTAGCTTTCATTGATATGAGAAAAATGAGATGATGGGCCAATATTATAACAAAAATAATCAATTTGAATGACCCTTTCTTAGATTGTGAAGACTCAGTCATATTCATTTACTTTGAATATAATTTACTTGTGTTTTTGTTGATAGTTGATAGAGTGTAACTGTAAAGTCATAGTTTATGAAGTTCAAATACTCTGATAGTCTTGCCTCATAGAGATCTGACATCACTCTACATCTGTAAAATCAGAAAAGGGAAAAGATCAGCAAACTTTCATTGGTTTTTTCTCAAAGTTACCTTAATTACTTATTTTTGAGGTCACTGACTTTTGAGAGTTTCTTGGTTTCTTAATTATAGAAAGAAGATGCTCCCCTTACTTATTCTTTATTTAGAGTTGCACAAGAATATGAATGATGTCATAAGCGAAATGAACAAATTATCAAAAAGTTGAGATGTTTTCTTTTTGTTACTTGAGAAGCAAAAATATAAGCAAGGCATTATTTCCTAAAGCTGTTTTCAAAAGTGGCCCAAGGGCTTTATAAGCAGTTGCAATCCGTGATCTGTGCAATGAATTCACATTGATGCAGTACAAGGCAAGCTGCATGATCATCATTGTGAAGCAACATTGCCTACCATGCTCCTTTGTGTGATTATGCAAGGTACAATTGGACTTGTTGTTTACCAGAATATCAATTTTTAAAAACCTAGTTATTTGCAGTAGGAATATTTGACATCCTTTCCTTTGAGAATTCTATTTTACAGTTTAAGTCATTATTGCATAAATCATCTTTGGCAGCTGTGAAATATTGCTTGAGGTGATAAAGCTGTAAATCTTTTGACATAAAACTCTAATTATACAAAACTATGATTATGCCAGGGCTTATATAAGGATAGCATGTATTTTAATAGCATAATATATTCATTTGAAAGCATCTTTATACCAATAGAGATTGAGAAATAGCAAGCACTTCATTTGTTAACTGGATCATAGGTTGTAGATGATGGGAATAGAAAGGAAATAGGAAAACATCATTTAGTTGGTTATCCCTTAATTTATTCTCATTTGGCTTGTGGTGTATTGTGGAGTAGAGCTGTCTAATTAAGTGTTAAACCCCTTCACATACACATACATATGTGATTTTGACCCTAAAATATCAAGCAACTTTAAACTTTGGAAAATCAAAGTAAATTTTTCCAGAGGAACGAAAGGTCTTTATTAAGTAGGAAAGCAGGACTTAAAATGCATTATTTTTACAGATCAGAACATTCCTGTCTTTGCCATTCTGCTTTCATTGTTACCAAATCAGGAAGGAATACTTCTATTTCCCCTATTTTTATGCTGCTTTTAAAGAACTGAACAATGAGATGTGGCTGAAGTAAGTCCTTACCTGGTCTGGACAGTGATCAGTACCAAGTTCCAGAGGTAATATTAGATTCAATCAACATAGAAAGAAATCTTGATTGAACAACATTGAATTTACTATCTCTGAGAATCATGAGGTAAAACCTTCTAGAGTGCTGTGCTTTTCTAAGAGGAGTGAACATGCCCATTGAGTGTCAATTCTTCCTAAGGTAAAGCATTTGGAACTAGAAGAAAACAGCAGGAGGAGACATGAGGGAGGGCCCACCTGACCTCTGCTTACCGGACATTTGTTTTAAGGGTGACTAATGTTCATTTATATCTTCCAAACCCCAGATGCTCTCCTGAAATTGTTTTTAGAGAAAAAATAATATTTTAACTAGTGAAGAAACTTTTATAGAGCGTCTATAAAATTTAAGGTTAATAATCACTCTTCCAATATCCAGATCTAAAAGAAACTTGTTTGTATCTATCACTTCCTACCTTTTGTCATAACAATAAATTATTAATGAAATAATAGAATCTAATGAAAATTTCAGCAGTACAAATACATATTGTCATAGCTTTATATAACTTAAATGGCATGTAAAATATTCAGTTCTCTTAATTCTTGGATTGTGTAGTAGTGATACAGATGGTAGTGTTTTTATTTTAACAAGAATAGAAATATATTTTGTGTGTGTGAAAATCAAGCAATAAGGAAGGAAGATTTCCATGGAGTATCTTGCGAGAATTTGTTTTGGTGTTCCTTTTAACTTTCTGTTATACGTTCCCATGTTTCTTTGCAATAAGATATTGTAGCAACCCTAATCCTAAAATACATTTTCTTTCATATATCTAAACTTCACAACATCTTGTGGACTCTGGGTATTACATGGAATTCAAATTTAATCAACTGTATTTGATGATAAAATAAACACTTTCAAGAAACTTTCCTCCCCACAATTGAAAACTTTCAATTCAGTATGGTCTCAAGTGAAATTAAAATGTCCCACAAGCTGTAGATGAGCTCTGTTCAGCAGTTCCTTTTCAACACCCACCAACATCATAGCTCTCAAAAGCTCTGGGGCTAAAAAGAAGCCATGTTGCCTGCCAGCTTGAGAGAAAACTGCTCAGTTATTTTTATACCCAATGGGTTTGAGAACAGGGTCAGTTTAGGGCTGACAGCTAGGAAAGGTTTAGTGGAAAGAACTGGTTTGCCATGGCTTCCAAGGGATTTTGTCTAGTTGAGTTTTTTTTTTTTTATTTTTGTTGTTGTTGTTTGCTATAAATAGTTACTGAATCAATTGCTGGCAGCCAACCTGCTAGGAGAGTCCTGGGATAGTTCAGCCACAGGGCAGTAGCAGTTGGCATGTGTTTTGAGGCAGCATCATTCAACTGCCCATGTGAACTAGAAACCTTAGGATCTTTTACTGCTTTTCTCTCTCCTCCTCTCTAAAGCCAGTTGGTCACCAAATTCTTACAGTCTTTATATGTGAAATATTTCAGTATGCTACTCCTACTCATCCATCCATTGCCAAGTGCTCTGATTAAAGACTGCTGTATTCTTCTTT